GGGAGGGGAGGACTTCAGCGGCACCCGCCTCCCTCAGCCCCAGAGACCGCAGGCAGGCGCTTCTCCCCTCACACCCCAACTCTTTAGGGAGGACCTAAGGGCCACTCCCTCCCCGCGTGGGCAGGTGTGAAATGCCCAGGAATCCCTTCAAGCTGGGGCTTCCTTCTCGAGAACCTCCTCCCTCCCCTGGTGCCGCAGCTGGGGGTCACCGGCTACCTGCGGGTTCCGGAACCGAGAGATGTGAAAAAGCAAAGGGAGCTGGTTCCCAAGGGGTTCCTTTTCTGGGGTTTGGCTGCCAGGCTGCGCCTGGTGTCTGCAGAGCAAGCTCCCCACTGCCACTCAACAGCATCCTGGGCGCTGGTCTTGGGGCCCCGGGCACCAGTCCTGTCCCTGAGCCCCGTGCGTGGGCCGTGCAAGGCTGGCCGGGAGATGGAAGCTGCGTCTAAGCCCTCTTGCAAGGTGCCAGCCACTGGCCACAGGCTTGCCCATCATAGGGCAGAGGCACAGGGGCCCAGTAAAGTTTGCTGTGAAAGAACAGAACCCGGAGGCTGGAGGAAGCAGCGGCCTGCACTGGCCAGCACCTCCGACTGACCGGGGCGCATACAGCCTCCTCTCACCTCACCTGGTCAGGCCAGACGACATCAAGGAAGAGGTTCCGGCTGGGGGCCTGGCAGGCATCTCGGGCCATCATAACCGTGCCCCAGGCTGGGTGATGGGAACCACAGACATCTCTCTGCTCACAGTTCCAGAGGCTGCAAGATCATGGCTGTGGGCTTCCAGAGGCTGCACTGCTTGACTGGGAAGCGGCTGTCTCCTCCCTGAGCTCACCTGGTGTCTCCTCCCTGTGCATCTGGGTCCTGATCTGCTCTTGTCAGGTAGGGGTGAGGCCCCCCAGTGACCTCACTTCACAGTAATCACCTCTTTAAAGACCCTGACTCCAGACACCTTCAGAGCTACTGGGGAGTCTGGCTCGGCCCCCCACTCCTAACCACTGGCCACCTGCCATTTCTGTGGCAGACCAGCATGTAGTCATTGAAAATAAAGTCTGGGGGCCCTCCCTGATGGCGCAGCAGATTGGAGCCCTGCACTGCGACCCCGCGCCCAAGCCAGGGAGCTGACCCCCAGGGCGCGGCAGACCTCTCCTGCCTCCTCGCTGCTCCCCGTAGCACTGTGCTTTGCCCATCTGCCCGTTCTGCTCCCCGCTCTGTCTCTGGTGAAGCCTCTCACTGCCCCTGAGCCTCTGGCCTGTACCCCAGTTCTGTATGCACAAATAAATAAATCTTTAAAAGAGAAAAGAAAGTCTGCAGGGAGATGCTGAAGACCATGTGCCTGTTGATGACTGAACACTGTGTTTTAGAAATACGCTAGAAGTAAATACGGTTACCCCAAATATATTCTTGAAGAGTGGGTTTGTGTGTACAGTGGGAGATGACTATCCCCAAAGAGCAACGTGTGGTGGGCTGAAGGGCATTCCCCCCGAAACTTATGTCCACCTAGCACGTCACAATGTGACCGCATTAGGAGACAGTGTTCCCTGAGGACCTCACAAGACACCACCCTGGCTTTAGGGTGTGTCCAATGTCCAGGAGCAGTGACATGGTCCCTGCCTTGGAGCTGACCCACAGGGCACAGCAGACCCCTCCTATCTCCCTGCTGCTCCCCTCAGCAGTTACTTCACCCATCTTCCTGTTCTGCTCCCCACTCTGTCTCTGGTGAATCCTCTCACTCACTGAACCTCTGGCCTGTACCCCAGTTCTGTATGCATAAATAAATAAATCAATATTGAAAAAAAAAAAAAAGAAAAGAAAAGGAGCATTTCTGACTGAGTTTATCAGGGGCCAGGGGAGAGGCAGTGGGGGAGGGGCCCAATGGACAACAGCTGAGGGTTACTGGCGCTCGGGTGGTGGCGTGGCGTGAGGTACATGTGTAGCTGTGCCCCTAAAACCTACACAGTGCTGTAAACCAACGTTACCTCGATAAACATACCAAAGGGGAGCTCTGAGTATGGACCCCGAGAACACAAAGCCACTGATTCAAAGTGTCATATGTGGGGACTCAGGCCCATAGCAGCTTAACCTACAAGAGCCGGGAATGAGGCACAACCTGATGCCCACCAACAAGCGACTGGACAGAGATGTGGACAGGTACATCCAGTGGCATCTACACAGCTACTAAAGAAGAGAAAGATGAGATCCTGCCACGCGCAACAGCTCAGATTGATCTAGAAGGAATTACGCTAAGTGAAGCAAGTCAGAGCAAGGCAAACAGTGTATGATTTCAGTCCTACACAGAAAATAAAGAAACAAGACAAAAGCAAACTCTTACACTGTAAAAATACAACAGTGGTCACCAAAAGAAAGGAGGAGGCTAATTTAGGTAAAAGGGGCCAGCTGCATGATGAGGGAGGGAAACGTGACCTCTGGGGTGAGCACGGTGTACTATGTCAGATACTGCTTCATCAAGTTGGGCACCTGGAACCCATATAATGTCATACACCGTTTTTTTAATTAAAAAAAAAATTGTAAGGCCCTCCCTGGTGGCGCAGCGGGTTAAAGCACTGCACTGAGAAGCTAAAGCCACTTCCGCATGAGTTCGATTCCC